CTCATTGCTATTGGGTGCTCCTTAGACCCCCAACAAAGGTAGGTCAATGGGGGGGTCTCATATAGATATATATTTATATATAGAGAGAGAGAGAGAGAGAGAGAGAGAGAGAACAAGAGAGAGAGAGATAGATAGATATGTTATATACATACATAGATATAAAGACATGGCGAAAGAGATAGTGAGAGAGCGAGAGAGAGAAGAGGAGAAGGAGACAACTCGGGAGGAAAGGTCATCTTGTCTTTCCCCGTCTTTTCTTGGCTTTTTTCATGCAGAGAAGTTGTACAAAAATGCCGCAGAAAGAAAGATGGGCAACAGTTTGAAGACTTTTCCTCGTTCATCTTCATCCGTCTCCTGCGGTTTGGCATTATCGGATGCAGTTGGGCTCAATACAATGCAGCACATCACATGGTACATAGAGGTCCATTGCACACGTGCGCATTCACTAAGGTGAGTTTTGTGGTTCTTTTTGCATGGAATTGGACTTGCTCCCTCCACCCTGAACTGCAGGATCAGTATGGCTCCTTGGAGCACTTGCACTACGGAGCGCTTGGCTTGTTTGGTTCGCGATCAAACAAAGCTCAATGATACGGACTTTTTTTGACCCGGCATTCGACTGGTGCAAGACAGTGGAGGATATCTTTGTGTTTATGGGAGGGATGAATGCGGTCCTGAAATGTGAAAGTGGAATCTGAACTCAGCATGCCAGGTAATTGGGTCGGGATGGGCCACGTGAGCGACTCAGCTTAGCGCAGCCGGAAGAAGACCCCGAATGTGCACCTTTTCTCTGAGGATCTGACTTTTCTGTCGGAGTCCGATCCGGCGCTGACCTTCGAACCCGCTCCGGCGCGGTCGTAGGGCGACTAAGAATTCTGGATCTCCAGCTCTCTCCTCGACTTCCGCCGCACTCCGGGCAACGCCCATGAACCTGCGCCGTTTTTGCCAGGCAGGAGCACAGTACTCCATGGGTGAGCTGCTTCGGATGGTCGAGGATGAGGACATCGAAGCTTGAACTTTTTGAACCTGCCGCGCAGAGCGGGGACAGAGAGCGGACTCAATGCAGGGTCCGCAACGGCTTCCTGTGGTCTTTCTGCCGGGGCGGTCGCATTCTCTCCCGACAACTCCAGGAGAGTATCGATCCCCAGCAGCTCTGGATGCTGTCAACACACATGTGCCTCGTCGGCAGTCCTCCGGCCCGGAAGACTCCAGTGAGACTTGCCAGTGCTTCCCGGAGAGACGAGAACGGCCATGCAACTGTCCGAACAGAGGAAGGCGCACCTCGACCTAGCTTCCGCATCTAGCCACCCAGTTGCGACCCAGGAGGAGTGAGCGCGGTGGAGATTGGCACATGGCCCGCGATGGGCACTCGGGTTACTCAGGTTTCCTAGCCAGTGAGACTTCCCATTGCACAGCAGCACCAAGCTCGCAACCAAGTTCAGGTCGAGAACCTCACCTGGCGACTGAGAAACATGTGGAGCAAGCTGGGGCAGGACAGTTCCCAAGCCAGGGCACTTGTGCTCAGTTCAACTCTTGCGGAATGATCAAGTGCGAGTACTAGGTGCACGCAGGCCGTTCATAAAACTGAAACGAACAGAAACTACAGAAAGACTAGCGATAGCCTGCAGAATCACATTCCAGCAGTGATGGCGGTAGTAGTAGGAACACAGCTGAACCCTGAACAGAGCCAGGAGGCGAAGAGGAAGGCCTTGGTGGAGCAGCTTCTGAAGATCCTCGAGAAGTGGGGCCTTGCTTGTCCTGTGGGGTTTGGGGGAGCGGATCTAGGGTTTGCAGCGTTTGGGGATCATGAAGTTTGGTAAGTGATCGAAAGCGTCGTACGTGGGGGTTTGAGAAGGGTTTCTGAAAGCTGGCAGGACCGAAAAGCCAGCATCCTCATGTGCACGGTGGAGATTCGTGGACCCCCCCTTTTCTGAAATTGCCTCAGGAAAGACCGGGCCTTGAAAGGGAACCGCGCATCATTCAGAAGATTGAGATGTATACACGTACATACATATATTTCCTATACCTACACATGTACATATACATGTATATGTATATGTATGTGTATGTATATATGTATATTCAGACACACACACACACTGTGTGACTCTCGAGTGTGCAATTGTGACCGTGGTATGGCTGGTGCATCATCCTTCTTTTCACGGAGGGCAACCTGCAGCTCTTGCAATTCGCGAACTGCAGACTCTCTTAAGCCTCGAAGTTTTCAGTCACGACCATGGGCACGCAGCAGGTCTTCCGTTGCTCAACATCGACCTGAACTGGAGCCAGAAGTGCTGCCAGAAGGCCCGACACGATGCCTGCTGCTCAAGAAAGTCCCCAAGTAGGCCTGAAGGCGGACGCTGAGCCCTTTCAGTCCCCGGGTTACGATTTCCTTTGAGTTCGACCCTCGAACTATTTCTTTGGACCTTCCTGTATTCACAGAAGAAACTGCAAATACGGTTGATGATTCCGATCATCAATATCCTGATCCTCTAGCTGTTCGCGAGCTGCCGCTAGCTGCCTCGATTCACAGAAAGTGCTTGAACGTGGCTCGTGCAAAGCAGTGCAAAAAAGAGGGATGTGCAAGAACGGTGTTCTTGCTTTTTCTCCCTTGCTGCAGCTTTACAAAACGACTCGAAGGCGTTGCTTCCTGGAGTTCCTAGCCTTCCGTGGGCCATTGAAGCAGTCGAGAACCGTCTGACACGTCTGCGACTTTCCACACTCGTGCCCAGTGTGTATACCCTGTTCCCTGAGATAGGTTCTTCTCGGTGAGACATCTTTCCTTCGTGTGAACTACCGAATGGCGTTGAAGGAGCACTCGAGCATACTCATCAAAGGTGTGATGGCGTGCTGCAATCTTTTCCTCTTCTGTTCGTTGCGACTGAGACCGCACTGCTTCCGACAAGCGAATATCGCCGTCCAGCAAGTCTTGTAGAGTTGTCCACCATCGCTTGCGTCTCGGGATGTATGATAACATCGGGTCGCCCTGCTCCTTAGCCAAATTTGTCAGCAGTTGGCCTGTCTAAACAGTCTGACGCATCTTCAGATTGAAGAGGGAATGCCTGCAAGCGGATCTGCTCACTCAAACGGTCTATGCCCTCAGCTTTCGGCAACCTGTCGAGCCCTATGTCCCGCTGAAAGCCCGAAAATGGGGATGGTCCTTGAGTCCTTGAGGTGGCAATAGCCTGAAGTCTGAAGGCTCAGTTTTTTTTTTCCAGAGCGCCTGCGGGACGCGGGGCGCCTGGCGCGGGGCCGGGTGACCTGCCGTAACCCGCGTTGGGTGATTTTCGATGCTCCGTTTGTTGGCTCAGCCTGGCTCAGCCTGGCTCTTGTCACTCAGGTCACGGTGCCCAGGCCCTCGCGAAGGCCATTCTTTGGCACCACAGCATCACTCGTCCCCACTCTTTCCCGCTGGGCCTGGCACATCTTCTAGGTGTTCTGGGCGCAAGGGGGCCGTACTTGCCTGCAAGGAGGGATCTGGGGCCCCTTTCATGGAAGCGCCTGGAGCTGCCATTCCTCCTCTACTACTTCTTGCACGCTTTCTCTCCCAAAGGACGCCGCTCAGAATCATCAACACCGGACCATCATGATCCCCGCCGTGACCAGCTTGCCCGGCATGCGCTGATGATGCGCCTTGTCTTTCTTCTTAGCGCTGCTACTACCGCATATGTAGTTGTAAGCCGTCGCATAGGCGCTCACTTGGGAGGGCCTTGGATAGAAGGTCCGCTGGTTGCCGGATCCCTGACACACCCTGCTGCCGAAGCCGCTTGCAACCAACTCGCTTTCACGCGTAGATGTCGCGTCCTCCAGCTCCCTGTTACAGTTCCAGCTGAGGAATCTGATCCAACCATTCGATCTCCGACTTCCTCCGGTAACAGACTCCACTCCCAACATCGCTGTGCTGCCTTCCAGAGAAGCGTTAATTCCGCCTCAGCTGTTGACAATGCCGTCGTGTTCTGTGAACTTCGCCAGAGCACTGGAGTTCCGGCGTAGAGAACCCAACCAGTTTTGGTCTCTCGTGTGGGCGAAGCTGCGCTCCCTCGGGACGCAAGGTAGTTTGACCTCTGATACTTCAGGATTTGGAAGGCCATGGAAGGTCGTCATAGAGGAAGGACAGAACCATGACCATGAGAGCCATAACAGCTCCCCCGTCATGTGCTGTGCTTGGAGGATAGTGGTTTCGGCGGAATAACTCAAACACTGTCTCTTCTTTCCACATAGGGATCGATTGGATTCCTTCAAGTCGTAGGCCCGCAACAATTCCTCCACGTAGCCCTGCTGACTTGCACATAGGTCCTCGCCTGCCNNCCCCCCCCCCCCCCCCCCCGCAATGTCAACTCCATACCAAGGATGTTCATTTGATTGTCCTTGGAGAGTTGGCTTCGACGTTTCCTATTTCCTATCCTCTAGCATCTCGGCCAAACCACCACTCGCATCTTTCACGGCCCACCAGCTGGCGAGTCTTTTTCCTCGCGACATCACCAAACTGGCGGCGACTTCCGGCTCATACGCTCATCAGTCAGAAGAAAGGCTGCTCTGGGTGCCCCTCTTCACCCACTTCGGCCTTCCCCCCCTTCTGGTCTTCCGCTCTGACCGGCTCTGGTTGGGTCTCCCCTTGTTTGGTAGAGGATAACTGNNGAGGCACCGGGTCAAGTAGGTACCCTCGTCCAGCGACAGAGTCCGCCGCAATCACGTCTGCTCATCCCGGTTCATCCTTATGAATGAAGAAGGGGTCCTCCTTGTCATGTGGTTGTGGTAGAGAAGGCTTCATTGGCTCCTCGCTCCCGATGGCGCGCGGTCCTCCTGTCCACTCCCTACACCCCCCCTCTCCATCCATCATCACTTGGAGGTTCTTTTCCGCTGCATGCCTTCACGACTCCCGGGGAACGGTACACGTGCCTACAATCACCTCGCTCACATCCAAACCAGCTTCATGCCTGGATGTCGTACTCGAGCATGTCGCCTTCCTCTCCCCGGGGCATAGCGCGTGTGCGGCAGTCCTTGCGGTAGTTGATGTGGCCCGCACATGCTGTCTCCATTGTTCGGTGCTCCTCGCCCGAAGTTGTGGTGGTTCACGTGGTCACTTCTCCCAGACGGGGGGCGTGGTAACTATTGCAAGCACCAGTCCAGGTGACTATGTTGACGAACTTCCGCTGCTTGTTGATTGGCTTTCCTCCTCCTCCTCCTCGAGTCCCATGCCCTGTAATCCACTCATGTAGTGGTCTGTTAGTTCCCAAAGAGGTCATACACGAGCGCCCCAATCCCATTCCCGCGCTTTTTCTCAAACTGGATCGTTTGCATCCCAATCTCCTCCCGGAACCTGGTCCGCAGAACGCTGTGTTGCATAGGGATGCTCCATGATGAAAGCCACCGGCCTCGATTGCTCCGTTGTAGATGTGACATTCCATCGGACACAGTGCGAGTTTCCACAATTAAATACCCCCGTTTAAGCTTTCATCCAATTGCCGGCTCTTCATCGCCAATAAACTCACTCGAGCTCCCTCTCCGTGAAGAGTTTACAGACTTCTAAACAGCCGTATCCAATTTCTTTCAAGCGGCCCCGAAGCCCGCAAGGAATCCCAATGAAGTGCTGTGAGAACCCTCGTCGAGACTTCCATCAACTCCCTATTATTTCGAAGCCCCTTTTTTTGGGGGTGTGAGGCCCGCCACACGAGCTACCCGGACCGGGCCGGCAGGGACTCAAGGGCTCCAAGCTCCTCGAAGCCACTTGGAACAAGGCTCAGGATCTTTGGGATCTTTGAAGCATTGAAGTATCCTTTGAGGGCTCCCAGCATTTGGTTAAAAAGAGGTCTGAAAAGGCTTCTAGGATGCAAAGGCAATGGAGCCTGCTTCCACAAAGTGGCAGTCGCAGTCTCAGCCTAGCCAGCGCTAGTTCGGCTCCTTCTCTCCCGGAGGGCCGACTCCGAGCGTTCGAGCTAGCATGCGGGAGGTCTAAGCCCCCCGTAGACTATATAGCCGTGCGCTTCTTTCATACGGTTTAGGACCCCAGTCAAAGCCGGCACCCGCCGCCTTGAGTGCGACGACATCACACAGCTGGTCGTCACGACGGCTCATAGAGCAGCCAGTGGCATGGCAATGCAGAGACATCACACATTCAGCACATGACCGAAATGTGAGCAAGCTGGCCGTTCCGGCAACTGCCCCGCGACCCTTTCAGGGTTTCTGCAACACGGCAACCAGAACGCAGTTCTACGTCAGGTCTCTGAGTTTGGCACCGGCGACTTTCGCCCGACACTCAAGTCCCAGCAGCAAAGCGTGGAAAAAAGATTGGACTGCGCTTGCCGAACTCAGGCACTCCGAGCTTGGACATCTGCTTTCGCAAGGCCCTGTTGCAGTCGGTCCCGGGGTCCCGTCATGCGAGGCGTTGAAAGTTTAGGGTTTAGGAGTAAACTTTACTCCTGGTTTTCGCATGCGAGGATGGTTCCAGGCTGCTTCCGCTGGTGCGGAAAGCCCAGCTCGAGCTCATTTGACAAATCACTTGCTACTCTACGCTGAGAGCTCGCTGAGCTCTTTGTGGACACCAGAGCCTGAGGTATCAGCGACACAGGCAGCCCGCGCCACCGCGATTCTGCACCCCACTCCCTTTCCTGAAAGTGAAGTTCTCCCCCGGACGCAGGGTGGTTCGCGGCGTTGTGCCCTCCAATTCCGGGCTGCCTTTGCTGGGGGCGCGGCACTCCGAGGTAACAGAGCAGCTCGCCTTCTCTCTCGCTCTCTGAGCTT